AGCTAAATGTCATGATGTCTTTAATTCACTTTTGAATACTGGGGAGCTGAGGGGTAGGGAGACGAAGCCAAGAGGGAAATGTTAACAACTTAAACCAAGATAAAGGAGAGCAAAGTGAGCTGGTCCCATTTTCTGACATTAAGGTTTCAAGACTCTCAATCACCAGGAGACAGGAAGAGCTTGTACCACGTCCTCTGCAAGCCTGCAGCTCATGTGGGTTTTAAATTTTCAAACCTCTAGCTGCCAAAAGGAAAGATGATACCAAGGCAAAAGCAGGTCCCGTGAAACAAGTATCTTGCTCCTTTTTGTACTTGGGAAAGCAAGGAACTGTGGAGTTGGTGCCTTAGCTCTCACCGTTAAATATCCAAGAACAGCTTCCTAGCTTCAAATTCACCTTAGTAACCTCAATGAAGGCTCTGCTCACAACCAAGGAGGAAAAGCTGGCAGAGCTAGGTACAAAACTGGCACTGAAGTGACCTTATTCTGTTCCTGCTTCTTACACCAATGACTACAGGTTAAATGCCTGGTGATACAAACTTAGCTAACAAAGAACACAGTCTGAAACCTATAAAGACATCCTATGCCTAAAAGAGAAACTTTCAGGTCTTGCTTAGCAAAATACAGATATTTTAAATCTAATAGTTAAGGAATTTAATCTCAATTCAAAAACCACTAGTCAACTGCCATCAGTGACAATGACTGATTCTTTAAATCTGCTAACTTATACCAAACTGTCCATCTGAGTTGTAGAAGAAAGCTAATGGTCCAAGATGGCCGGAGAAGTGTTAACCTATCATTGAAAGAGCATGGCACCAGAAGTCACATAAATCCAGACTAACAGGTCCCCTACCCCCTCATCTGCCTTGGGCTAAGGACAATGTATTGATTCTGTCACCTAGCAAATGGAGACGATTATTCCCTCTTTGTGTGTGTATGTGTGTGCACATGCGTGCACACATGCACATACATGCATGTGCTTCTGTGTTTATGTGTGCAGGCACACATGCCAGTACTAGGACTTGAACTCAGGGCCTGAGCACTGTCATTTAGCCTTTTCAACTCAAGGCCGGTGCTCTACCACTTGAGCCACAGCTCCACTTCTGGCTTTTTGCTGGTCAGTTGGACATAAGAATCCCATGGACTTTCCTGCCTGGACTGACTTCTAACTGTAATCCTCAGATCTCAGCCTCCTGAATAGCTAGGATTACAGGCGTGAGCCACCAGTGCCCAGCTAATTATTGTCTCTTCCTAAAACACAGACAAAACTGATGAAGCTGTATGCGGTGCCATGCACACCTGACGTTAACCTGGGATTCCAGGACTCGCTTATCCAAACTGCACACTTCACTGTGGCCAAACAGCAGGATTCATCCCTGCCCTATCAAAAAATACACACGAGGGCTGGGAAGGTGGCTCAGTGGTACAGCGCTTGCCTTGCATGCCTGAGGCCCTGGGTTCCATTCCTCAGCACCACATAAGCAAAAAGAAAAAAGCTGGAAGTGGTGCTGTGGCTCAAGTGGTAGAGCGCAAGCCTTGAGCTGAAGAGCTGAGGGACAGTGCCCAGGCCAAGAGTTCAGGCCCCACGACCGGACCCAAAAAAAGAAAAAAGAAAAAAATACACACGAGTTGGGGGGGGGGGGGGGGGGGAGGATGGGATGAGAAGGGGAAACAAAGGAGGAGGCTACAATGCTTGATAAGAAATGTACTCATTATCTTGCCCATGTGATGGTAACCCCTCTGTACAGTGTTTTTAAAAAAAAAAAAAAAAAAAAACACATGAGGCCTCCTGGTAAAGGCTTGTAATTGCATATGATTGTGTTCTAGACGCTTTTGTAGCCTGATTCCTGTAATTGCTTTGGTTCTGACTGGCAGCTGGCTGCCCAATGCCTGACTCTTGACCTCCCTTTCCCCGGGCAGGATGATGGCCAAGATGACGCACCAGGCCTGTGTACACCCTCATCTGTGGCTGACGTTCTTGGCTCTGCCCTGTCTCCTAATGCTAAGGGCTTGGTGTTGGGCCTGGCCCTTCCATTCTCAGCCCAGCATGGCCTTATGCACCCACGTGGATGTCTCTGAGATGACCACAAGAAGACAGGGTACTTCTGTGGGGTAGGGCGTAGCAAGTTTGCATCCGTCTGCCATCCCCAACTGCCCAAGATTCTGTTCTCTGATGCCGTCCCCGCACTTGCTTCCCTTGACCTCCTCTCTCCCCACTCACAGTTCTGCAAGCCCTGGCAGGTATCTTTCACTGGTCTGTGTAGAAACTCTGTAAGATGCTGGAGACTGCCGGGCTCTGGTGGCTCACGCATGTAATCTGAACTACTCAGGAGGCTGAGACCTGAGGATCATGGTTCAAAGCCGGCCCAGGTAGGAAAGTTTGTGAGATTCCTACCTCCCATTAACCACCAGAAAACTGGAATTGGTGCTGTGGCTCAAAGTGGTACAGTGCTAACCCAGCAAAAGAGCTCAGGGACAGCGCCCAGGCCCTAAATTCAAGCCCCAGGAATAACAAAAACAAAACAAAACAAAAAGATGCTGGGGGACAAAGCAGGGTGAGCCCATAGAGCCCTCAGGCGAAGGGAAAAGGGGCCTCCACCAGCACACCACAATCATTCTGAACCCCAATGACATGACGTCATTATCCACCACGGTCTCCAAGCCCTCCAACTCTGCCAAGATGAGGGGCTGGAGGAGGGAGAGAGCTATGGCCCATAATCCTCATCAGCCGGAGGCCAGGGCCAGGTGTGTGACACTGGAACTGGCCCCTGGGAGATGCCAGGTAAGATGTGAACAGATTCCAGGCAGAGCAAAGAGCCTCAACCATGGAGTGTGAGTTTTTGCTGAAGAAACTGGGAAAGGAGGGATGGAGGAGACAGAGCAGTATTTCATTAACTACTTCTAGAGGACCCACGGGGTGCTGTACTAGGTGCCCAAAGATAAAGAATAATACAATCTAGCCCTAGCCGTCAGAAGCTGACTGCCCAGTGCAGGAGACAGAAAGGTTTCTAAGTACAAAGCAAGCAGAGTCACTGAGAGATCTACGCCTAGCATAGGAGTGACCTGCAGGAGCCCGTGAGTGATGGATGGAGCCTGCGAGATGGAGGAGATGAGGCCCAGCAGAGCCTTGCAGGCCGAGCCGGGGCACCAACCATGTCTGCATGGGCTGGGATGCATCTCAACAGAGTAAAGAACAAAGATCATCCTATTCCCCCCTGCCCCTCTTAGACTCAGCATTGTTCTAAAAATCACATAGTCTTCCAACCCCAACACACACACCACACAGAATGGTTCACAAAGACTGAGGCTTCTGATCTACAGTAACCACATCTCTCATGGCCTCACGTGTCCTGACTGTCGGATCTGAGGCAGTGCTTTCTTCCAGATCAAAGTGCCCTGGTATGAGTGAGAGCTCGGCGCCTGCCTGCTCGCCACCTCTGGGTATGGTGGACAGGGAAGCATCTGTCTGCCTCGGCTGCCCTCTGTGCATGCCACTGCAACCATGCTCAGTGGGGCCACTACAGCTCAGCTGGCCAATTTGCTCAGAGCAAAGGTTCCTTCACTCCGCTTTGACTGGGCTCTGGAGAGAAGATGGAAAACCATCAGAATCCTCCAGGCTGGATGGGGGCCAGGCCTCTGGAGGGGTGACGGAAACTCTACAGGAGGGAGGCTGGCAGCCACGGGACCCCCACAAGCTCCAGTCCTCGAGTCTCGGGCAACTTCCACCACCCCCTCAGCAGAGCGAGGGGGGAATGAAGGCCCCAGCTGTACCACCAGACAGCCACATTCTACTCCACCATGACTCTGACCTGCTATACCTCCCCTGTCTCTGGCCAAGGGTGCAAAGCCATCACCCCCAAATACTACAGATCTCCACAGCTCTGCCTACACAAAGGCCACCTTGTCACATGGACCTTCTGCCTCCTTCCCATCTCCCCACAGCCGGGATTCCCACTCCCACTTCGAGCTTTGCCCTGACAGGGAATCCCCAAGGCATCCAAACCACCAAACCTCCTACTGCAGATTGTACACAGCAAGGGGATCGGCTTTCTAGGAACAAGATATACTTCCCTGTCTTCCTAAGTTAGGATTTTTTTTTATCCAGAAAGGTGCAGTCATCCTTGTGTGTCTGTGGAGGACGAGTTCCAAAACACCCACACATCCGAATCTGCAGGCGTTCATGTCCCCTGTGCCACGCGCTCTAGTATTTGTATGAAACCACACATGTCCACATAGCTCATTGCTAGAGGGCTAGGGAGCCTAACGCAACATAAATGATGTCCAAACTGTTGTTACACTGTGTGGTCTAGAAAATATAACGAGAGAGACACAGATGAGGAGTTGGGCGGGGGTTGTGGAGAGGGAGACAGAGAGGGAAAGAGACACTATGTGTGTTGAGAAACAGTACTCAGGCTTGAACCCAAGGCCTTTCACTATCCCACAGCCTTTTTGGCTCAACACTGGTACTCTACCACTTGAGCCATGCCCCCAGACCTAGCTTTTTGCTGGTTAATTGGAGGTAAGAGTCTCCTGGACTTTCCTACCAGGACTTGTTTAGAACTGTGATCTTCACATGTCAGCTTCCGGAGTAGCTAGGATTATAGGTGTAAGCACTAGAACCTGGAGGCAATCTTTCATCCAAATACTTTTGACCTAAGGTTGCTCAATCCAGAACCTATGGATTCGAGGGATCTTAAATGTACTAAAATGACCATAGTCATATTCCCAAACTATATTTCCTACCCAAAAGAGAAACCTACCCAGACCTTAATTTCTTCATGTGATGGCCCACCCAAAGGCAAGCCCGCTAACTACCGTAGCGTTGCCCAGTTAGTAATAAAGGCTTTAGACTCCCTCGGCAAATACAGCCCTGGCCAGCTGTATACCAATTGGACACAGAAGCAACCACTGCAGGTGGCCCTTGGATGTGGCTTAAGAAGTCTCCAGGGGTCACGAGTTCTATCACAATCTAAAAAGTATGGAAGCCCACAGAGCAAACATACCTGGCTCCAAAGATGTCCTTCTTAGCGAGATCAATCCCAGAAACAACTTTTACTCTGAGGATGCGGGATTCCCCCTGCCGAAGAGAAAAACACAAGGTTAGATCCCAATCTTCAATAGACTGCTCTCACCCTCTCTCACCTCACCCAGTATTAATATCTATGACTGCTTCTCCGTGAGTGTCTGGATTTAGACCAAGTCAAGCACAGGCAATCCCTCCTTACAACAAGCACTACTATAGCTCTACAATGTTAAGAGATAGAAACAGAAGCATCCAAGTTAATTAAACCCAAGCTTGACTCAAACGAGGTCATTAACATCAATTACTCTTCACATTGGAGGATCATTTCCCAGCTGTACCTGAACACAGCCATGAACTCTCATGGAACTCTCCAGGCACATTCAAGAACAACCAACTTCCATAAATACTATAAAAATAAGGACTCCTTTGATATTTATGTATTTGTAAGTATGTCCAGAAATAGAAAGGAATAAATATCTTATGAAGTAAAACAGTTCCTCAAAATCGGATTGCTTTTTGAAATGTGACATCAGTTAGAAAAATAATGCCTTAGTTCTAATAAAATGAATCACTCTGAGCAGTAAAACCACCCCACACCAAAAAGTCATTCATTCATTCATTCTAGTATGTCCTAAGCAGCAACTATGCCCTGGCCACTGAGCTTGATCTTGAAAATATAAACATGAATCGACTGCAAATGACCTAAGGATCAGTAGCATCATGACAAAAGGCATGGTCTGGGAAACACAAATATGTAAAATAATAACCTGGTGCCAATAGCATACACACACAAAAAAAAATCTAAGGGACAGCACCAGTGCTCAGGCCCTGAGTTTAAGTCCCAGTGCCAGCACATACATATATACACACATACATGCACACATGCATACAAACATACATACCCACACAAATAAATAGAAAAAAAAGACTCCTCACTTTGTGCTTATGATTTACCCTCCTCTAATCACAGGCTGGGAGTGTGGCTCAGTAGTGGCGTGCTTGTTTTGTTCTGAGTTTGGTCTCCAAGAATGGCAGGGAGGGAAGGAAGTGAGCAAGGGAGGGACGGAGAGAGGGAGTGCAGAACTCTTTCTTTCCTATGGGATGGTCCACAGGCAGAGGCTCTTTTCTGTTTCTCCATGAGCTTCTGCTGCATACCCTGCAATGCCCTCCATGCGCTGCTTGGCTCAAAGGATGCCACAGTGAAAGTATTTTCCACAGACAGACCAAGTATGGCAATGCTTCTGCAGAGTTCTTTGCACACCTGAGGGGAGCTCATGGCTGACAAGTACCTATGGCATACAAACTGACACCACTGGCCTTCCTGGCAAAGGAGAGTGCAGACACAACTTGAGAGGGGAATAGCATCATCCAGAAGAAATGGATGATGAGAAACTGCCAGGAAAAGAAGAGGACTCATTCAAATATGGAAGCCAGCGATTCTTCTGAATACTGCCACACAGGGCGGGCAGATGGATGTCTGCTGGGAGTGGTCCAAAGGATGAATAAATCCTGAGAGTTACTGAGATGTTCGAAAGGCAGCAGGGAAGGAAATAACGGTGGAAGGAGGAGCACAGTAACCTGTGTTCACCCGTCCCTTACGAGCCAGCTTACCCTGCGGTGTTCTGGCGAACATAGCCCACAAGGCTCCTCACAGAGCAAATGCAGGCCGGCAGGCTTTCTCAAGGGCAATTGCAACACTGCTTGCTTGCTTTCTTGTTAATGCTGGTCCATGGGCTTGAATTCAGGGCTTAGGCACTGTTCCTGAGCTTTTGTACTCAAGGCTAGAGACCTACCGCTTGAGCCAGAGCTCTACTTCTGGCTTTTGGGTGGTTAATTGGAGATAAGAGTCTCACAGACTTTCCTTCCCAAGCTGGTTTGAACCTCAATCCTCAAGATCTCAGCCTCCTGAGTAACCAGGGTTACAGGTGTGAGCCATGGGCACTTGTCACTATCTTTCTTTCAACAAACTTAAGAAATCAATCCTTTTATTTTTTTTTAAAAAAAAGCACCAATAAGAGAAAAAACAAAAAACTTATCCAAAAGGATGGTCACATTTCAACTAAAAAAGAAAAATCTAAAGACTTCTCTATAGTAGACAGTTAATTCCGTAAACAAGTGCTAAAACAGACTGTCATTAAAAATGGGTGAGAGTCAGCAATGGCATTCCTCCACCCCACAGGTATTTAGTAAGTGCTATCATGTGCCACAACTAGTATTTGGGGACAGAGATATAAAACAAGACAGCTCCTGCTTCACAGAACCCATTATCTAGTCGGCAGAAAGACAGAATGGAAAGATAGGACACAAACAAACGAGGCAATTTGGGACAGTGGTAACTGCTTTGGAGCTAATATGACAGCGAAGTGAAATCAACTCAGCAGAGAAAGAGGTGGACAATGTGTGAGGATGGAGAAAAGACATCTGAACCCAGATCTGAGGAACAACAGAGATCAGGTGGGTGCAACACAGGGAGGGGCCAGAGGGGTGAGCCTCCAGTGAGGTCAGAGCCAAGGAAGGCAGACATCATTCCAACTACTTCCGGGGCAGCGCTGGAAAGTTTCCGGCATGGGGATGACAGGATGTGACTTCAGTTTTTAGAAGAACCACGGTGGCTACTGTGAAGAATAGGCTCTAGGAAAGGACAGCTTCAGGAAGAACAGTGAGGTAAAGTGCATGACACACATGCGTGCACACGCACGTGCACGCACACACACACGCTGGGCCTTCAGCAAGGTAGAGGTGGAAAAATAACGGTTATACAAGTGAAGTAATTTCAAAACAGTGAGCTTGATTTACAAAAGGAAAAGGAAGCTATTCGTGCTGTTTCACTTTCCATCTGCACACACTGGGCTAAACTACATTTCCCAACCTTCCTTGCAGTTAGGGCAGTCATGTGACAAAGTTTTGGCCAATGAAATATGGACAAAAAGAATGAAGGGCTCTTGCAGTGGCTCTTAAGTCCACTTCATCAGACATCCTCAGTTCCTCTCAGCAGCCCTCTGCTAATGGAGATCCTAATGGCCAAAAGGGGTAAACATGTTTAGAGGTCCACACACACACACACACACACACACACACACACACACACACACACACACACACACACACACACACACACACACACACACACACACACCACAACCTGCTGAGCCCCCTCATCATGAGTTGGCAACAGACTTCTGTTTAGTTCCACTGAAAACCAAAGTCTGAAACTGCGGTAAGCCTACCCACAGTATCAGTTTGTTTCTTTAAACTGTCAATAATACATCTGCAAAAGGTAAAAATGGAAAAGGAAAGAACGATATTAAATGATTACCATACATGATGGATGATTTTTGTTTGCTTATCTGCATTTTTTTGCCTTTTGTGAAACATTTTTCATTTAAAAACTAGACTTTGGGGCTGGGGAGTGTAGCCCAATACTGGAGTGCCTGCGCTAAGTCCCATCCCCAAAAGGAGGGTCAACTTTTATAAGAATTTCAGGGAACGTGTAAGAAAAAATAAAAAAATTGAATCACCAATAATGGCACCATCTAGGCTCGCTATATTTCAAAAATAAGCCTACTTCTCTCATGAACAAAAAAAAAACTGTTATCATTTTGTTTTACTTTTTTCCAGCAACCCACAAAGAGGTAGAGCTATTTAGAAGATACGAAGGAGTCCTCTTATGTAATATACTGGTGACAGCTGGAAAATGGGGCAAAGAGAGGGCCTCTATTAAGCACTTACTGTTTAACAGAAGTGAATTCCACTCTCCAAAGCTCAAGCAAAGCCTATAAAAATACTTTTTACACATGCATAGGAAATTTCTTATCTTTGTTTCCTCAAAATGGCAAGCTTACATACAGATAAGCAGCCGGGGTCATTCAACAGGGCAACACGTGACACGGGGTGTGCCTAATTTATTGCATGCAATGAGCCCCAGGCAGAACAACTGTACTTTCTGAGACATTTTATTACTTTCGTAAAATCTATGTATGGTATTTTGATCTCTGTTAATGGCTCTAGTCAAATCAAATATTTAACCACAGTGGCTTGGCTTAGATCATGAAAACAGTATCCACACACCGACTGTACACAGCAGAAAAGGAAAGGCAGAGAAAGGGCCAAATACAATGCCGGGTGTCTCCTCCTGTTATCAACCTGTCGGTCTGCATGACTATTAGGTAGCATATGCTGTGTACCTCAGCTTTTTCTAATGCTTCCATCGAGACAAAGAGCAAGGGTCAAACCACACACCACACAGTGGCCTATACACCATATACACACTGACAAGCAAGGTGTCAGCTTAGAAACAGGCAGAATACTGGAGACTCATCTGAAAGACCAATGGAATCCTGAGTCTCATCTGTATGATAGGTGGATGGAATTCCAGCAGTCCTTCGCCCCAGTCAATGTCTAAGTGGTTACTAGACTGCCATGCCTATTCACAAAGCTTCGGAATACATCGTCCATCAAACTGTCTCTGTGCTGGGCACTGATGGTTCATGCCTAGAATGGTAGCTATTCAGGAAGCTGAAATCTAAGGATCTCATTTCAAAGCCAGATCAGGAAGGAAAAGTCCCTGAAACTTTTATCTCCAACTAACCAGCAAAAAACAAATGGAAGTGGAGGTATGGCTCAAGTGGTAGAGCACCAGCCTTGAGTGGGGGGGGGGGGGGGGAGGGGAAAAATCCCTGAGTTAAGCCTCTGATTTGAGCATGGTACATGTACAAGCATGTGTACACGCACACACACACTATCTCCATGGTAGAGATATTTTTTGTTCTAACTCAAAACTTACCATATTAACCAAGCACAGGTAGCTCACACCTGAATCCTAGCTACACCGGAGAGTCTGAGATCTGAAAGTCACAGTTCCACACCCTGAGACTCTTATCTCCAATTAACCACCAAAAAGCTGACAGTGGAGCTGTGGCTAAGTGCTAGCCTTGCACAAAAGCTCAAACACAGTGTCCAGGCCCTGACTCCAAGCCCTCAACTGGTACGTACACACACACACACACACACACACACACACACACACACACACACACACACAAACAACCTCACCA